TCTTCATCGATTTTATTTGGTTGCCTGTTTTTCTGTGTTTTCTCACAGGTCTTCTTTGTTTCACTGTATCTTTTCTTCTTCTTTTCTATGTTTTTCTTTGTTTCTTTCTTGGTTCACTGGTTTTCCTTTTGCATTTCTTCTTTGTTTTCTTATTTTCTTCAATATTTCTGTGTTTCTCTCTTGGTTTCACTGCTTTCATTCTTTTGCATTTTTTCATTTTATTGTTTTGTTTTCTTTGTTTTCTTTTTTGGATTTTATTGTTTGTCTTAGTTTATTTGCCGATTTTTATTGGTTTCCTTTATCACACATTTCTACTTTTTAAAGTACAGAATGTACATTTTTAGTGTAAACATGAGACTTTTTTTGATACACGTTGAACAATTTTCAAATAGAAAATGCACATTTTTTCTTCAATCCATGTTTTGAACACTTTTTTTAATACATGGTGAAAGAATTTAAATACACATTGAACACTTTTTATGGTACTAATAACTAATTTTCAAAAAATACGCAAACATTTTTTTACATTGTATATATATTTTAAAAATATTTTCTGTACACAATATATATTTTTAGTGTCCGTGTGAAACATTTTTTGATATACATTAAACATTTTCAGATACATGATGCACAGTGTTCTTTTTAATATGTCTTTTGAAAACTTTTTTGAATACATGATCAACATATTTTCGAATACATGTTGAACATTTTTATGGTAATAAAAAATTTCAAACTACACAAACATTTGCTTACATTCTATAAAATAATTTAAATATCTTCTGTACAAAATATATACTTTCAGTGTACACATGAAACATTTTTTGATACATGTTGAACATTTTTCAAATACATGATGTGCATCTTTTTAGTATATGTTTTGAATACTTTTATGAATACATGATCAACACTGGTCCAAATACACGTTGAACAATTATTTATGGTATTATTTTTTGTGTAAATGCAAAAAAAATTAACATTGTACACACATTTTCTTAAATTCCACATACATTATTTTGAATTGCAAGAATGTTTTTCAAAATCTTGCGTACATATTTTTATGGGACGAAACATTTTTTTACATTGTGTACCTGAGTTTTTAAAATAAAACTTCATATACAATATTTTGAAACGCAGGATCATTTTTCATTGTCAATAGCATTTTTTCTGGATGCTTTCAACAATTTTTTAGTTTTGCTCACATTTCATTTATGCTGTGTTAACATTTTTTTCTTTCAAATTCGTGGTTTTAATTTTAAATATAAATTAATTATTTAAAGAGGTATCAAATTAAAATATAAAAAATGAAATTAGCGCAACATCAGCTTGATAAAGCCACATTCCTACAGG